CGTCTCTGACCACGTGCTGTTTTCCCTCTGCAGCAAAAAGCTCGGGACAATCGAGCGGCTCAACGCATCAACAAAGTGCAGCTGTCCAATGACCCGCTCAAACGCCACCCGCCCTCACAGCAGCAGCTGTCCGCGCCGCTGGGACCCTTTGACACTGTTTCCATGGAGATAGAGATGCCGTTCAAGGACCCGCTGAGGCCCAAGGAGTCGGAGCAGGAGCAGGAGTGGAAGTTCAGACAGGTGAGCAGAGCGCCACACGTCCAGGTGTCCGTTATGGTGACGTAGCAGCAGAGCGAGAAACCAACAACCAGACTCCAGTCAGAAAACACCTGATTTAACAGAAACACACTTTAGTGATGCAAACAGCAGCGCAATGCATGATGGGGCACCGAGCGCTGCCTGCTGGTTGTAGACACACTGAGGGTGCTCTTTAAAATTAGTCACAACAAGTCGAAGGCAGCGCTCCCGGGTCAGCAGGCTGCACGCCACCGCTTCAACCTCGAGACTAAATCGCCATAGAAACAATCCGTACTCACTCCAAGGCTGGCGCTGGTTTCCAGCTCTCAGTAGTAACCATGGTAACCAGAAGGCAGCACGCCGTGGGGTGTATTTGTGATATAGATGATGCTGTGATGTGCATGCCCACTGAGCCGCCCTCCCTCACACTAACGTCTCTGATGTCATTGAAAAGGGAGGGGTTAAAGACAGAGGGGAAGCCGATAAGAAGAGGCAGGAAATCCCCCCCCAAAGCAAAAAATCTCCAACAGATACAGATTGTCCCTGCCAGGCATCCGTAGCAGCTCCGGTAAGACCTCAAGGCCAACCTGTCGGAGGCAGACTTCCTGGATCCACGAGCCTCTGAAACCCTCTGACCTCAGGATTCACTCTGGAGCGCCACGAACCGTCAGGAACTCGTCAATCGGCCTTTAAACGAGCCAATGGGGCGCCAGTCAGAGCCATCAAACTTCAACAGTTTAAATAAAGAGTGACGGAGCTCACGGCCCGGAGCTGAGTGAGGGTTTCAGAGCGTGGAGCCGGCCTCAGCCTCGTCCTCCTCTCTGGGCCAAAGGACGGCGTAAATTTGAAGGAGGGAGGGAGGAAGAGGAGGGGTTAGCTCTGATCTGACACAACGCCACACGTCTGTGCTGGCCCAGAGTTGGAGGCCGCGGCCCAAGTCTGCCTACGAGCTGACTGCTTTTATTCTGAAGGGGTGCTGCCTGGCTCTGAATGTCTGCTGAGAATGGCTCCGGAAACTTCTCCTCCTTACAGCACCTCCACACAAACACATTCTGTCGGTGTCCTCCACCCATGCATGTGAGGGAGGAGAGCTCAGGTCCAGACCTGCTCCACACTTACTCTGTTAAAGTTTCCACGCACAGCTTCTTTTTCACTTTGTGGTTAAAATCACGTTTAAGGGTTGGAGGAGTTATGGGGACAGACTCCTGGGATTTTATTCTGAAAGTCAGAACAAACTGGAGCCTCAGAAACGTCCAGCAGAGGCAGCAGTGAGTCAGTCCCCATACACTCCCATGTTAGAGCTTTGTTCTCTGTGGGGTTTCCCCTTTGTAACTCCTGGTGTTATCTCACAGTCGTTCAGCGTAGCTGTCAGACCTCAGTGTTTCTGTGTTGACGTGTTTGAGCTCCACCTGTTGCCCTCACGCCTGTCGCTCTGTGTCCGCCTGTCTCCTCGCCCGTCCCTTCTGTTTTTCTCTCTCAGCAAATGCGTCAGAAGAGCAAGCAGCTCGCCAAGATGGAGGCCACCCAGAAGCTGGAGCAGGTGAAGAACGAGCAGCGGCAGCAGCAGCAGCTCCTGGCCAGCCAGCGCCTCTCAGGCCCCCAGTCGCCTGACTCTGGCAGCCACAGCCCCGTGCCCACCGGAGGAAGCGCCTCCCCTCAGCTCCACGCGGGTCTCAGGGAGGGTCAGCCCAGGCAGCACCTCCTGCAGGGAGGTTCTGGACCAGCGGACGACATCTTCCTGCGGCCTCAAGCACCGCCCCCTTCTGGCTTTTCCTCACTCCCTCAATCCCCACATCCCTCCTCTCCCCTCCACCAGCCAACGTCTTCCCCCCAGATGTTCTCTCCCCCCTCCTCCCGCCCTTCCTCACCCTGGGACCCCTACAGTAAGGTTATAGGCACTCCTCGGCCCTCCTCTTCCCAGCCTGGAGGCCCCGCAGCCTCCCAGCAGCATCACAGCTCCCTTAGCACCTCCCCAGCCCACGATGTCGTAGGCTCTCCTGCTCCGTCCCCCGACTCCAAAACACCTGACGTCTTCAGAAGCCTCGGGCCACAACCAGGTAACCCCACCCCCGACCCGTCAGTCAGACACGCCGGCATCCGAGTGGCCGAAGCCTACCAGAAGACGAACGTGCGAGTCGCTGCGCCCGAGTCGTGCAGTCGTCAACTGGTCCAGGGTGGTGTGTTTAAGGCCCCCATGCCCCCTCAGCAAGAGGCATGTGGTGGAGGAGGAGGGAGGAGGGACCTGTCAAGGCTCACAGACCCAAGCTTTGCCCCCCCTCCTTCACAGGAGCCTCCCTTCCCCTCCAGCCCACTGTCAGGTCTGGGCTCCCCCCACCGTAGCCCCTACGCCCAAGCACCCGGCACGCCCAGACCAGATTACACCCAGCAGATGTCCGACCCCTTCACCCAGCAGTCACCTATGACCTCCCGGCCATCTCCGGATCCCTACACCAACCCTCAGACCCCGGGCACGCCGCGCCCCCACTCGGACCCCACATACCTCACCACACCGCCTGCGCTGAGACCAGACCAGTACAACCAGCAATCCATGAGCCGCCGTCCGTCCCCCTCTCACCCGACCCTCGATCCCTACGCCTCCAACCCGGGCACGCCCCATCCAGCTGTCATCGACCGCTTCCCCCGATCACCAGGGAGTCAGCGGACCGGCGACCCCTACGCACAGCCCGCAGGTACACCGCGACCCTCGCCGGATCCCTACGCCCAGCAGCCCTCCACACCACGACCCCAGAAGGCCCACGAGCCATTCAGCCAAACCCCAGTCGAGAGCTTAGCTCCTCAGCCTGCAGCTTCCGCTTCATCCCCTCTGGCTCCAGGAGACCCAGGGACCTTCACCCCAACGCCCCACCAGGTAACATCACAGCCCACGGCCTCCGTTCTCTGCCACAGAGCAGCGTCGTCTTCTACTCATCTTCTCTCTGGTCAGTTACAGCAGTCACCAGGAAGACAACAGCAGCAGGACTCATTTCCCAGAACCCCAAAGCACCCTGGGATATCAGAAGAGAGCTTCTCTGCTTTGGCCAGTCACACTCCGGGGCACGATCCGTTTGAGCAGGGTCACATGACACCAGGCCGATCGCAAACCGACAAGACGGCGACCACTGAAACATCTGCTTTAGACGGGTCGATGAGCGCGATGCTTGGTGACTCGGGGGAGAAGCTGAGACAGGTGAGACGGGTGTTGTAAGTCCACGTTTGTCTGCTCGAGTGTTGCTGGTTCTCGTGTGTTTAGCGAGTTCATCCTGTTCTCTCTGCAGCGTCAGCGGCTTCGGGAGCTGATCCTGAGACAGCAGCAGCAGAAGAGCACGCTACGTCAGGAGAAGGGTCTGCAGGAACCGGCTCCTGGGCTGGCTGCAGCCCCGGCTGCTCCAACAGGATCCTCCCCTGGTTCTGGCACACCTCTTCACAACTGGTCGCAGGACGACTCCTCCAGCTCCACCGCTTCCCCTGTCCAGACGGACCCATTTGGGCGCCCTCCGCCCCCGTATCCTGGCACGATACGGCCTGCCGGGGCTCCAGCCCTGAGGTTCCCTGGAGGGTTCCCAGGAGAACAGCAGAGGGGTTTCGCGCCCACCGAGGCTTCTTTCCCCAGACAGAGCCTCCCCAGAGAGCTGGGTGTCCAAGGACCAGGATCGAGGTGAGAGGAGCAGTCCTGGTTGAGATCTGATGGTTTTTTGTGTTTGTGACTTACACCTGCTGCCCTCTACAGGTTTGGAGCTCCAGCTGGCCTCCATGACACTTTCCTGCGTGCAGGATCAACGCCTGCCTCTGGGCTCGGTGCTGTGGAGGTTCGTGTTCAGATGAGGAGGCCAGTGCCCGGGGACTTCACCGCCATCCGTCCCCACGGGACTCCAAACGCTCACCCGCACATGATGCAAGGTCAGCACAGCTCCTCCGACTGGCCGATGAGTCAAAAATGTTGAAACTTGATTGATAAAAAATTCTCTCCCCTCAGGTGTCCCCCAGCCCTTCCTCCCTCGCTCTCTCCCCATCCAGCAGCACAGCATCATGGGACAGCCCTACATCGAGCTTCGACATCGCGCTCCAGAGAACCGCCTCAGGCTGCCCTTCTCTCTCCCTTCAGCCACGGACCCCGACGCCCCTCTCCTGCACCCCAGAGACCCCCACCCACCTGCCATCAGACCTGGTCCCGGGGCCAGGATGGGTGAGACGCTGATGGCTCAGCAGATGATGATGGCAGGCGCCGTGGAGCAGCTGAACCAGCAGGATCCTCAGCAGCACCTTGGCCACGCGGCAGCTCTGACGCAGACCGGCGAGCCGGCGCTCTCGGGAGCCGATGGAATCGAGGAGCACCTGGAAGGGGAGGACTCGGCTGTGAAGGACCTGGAGGATGTAGAAGTGAAGGATCTGGTTGACCTGAACCTGAACCTCGACCCTGAAGATGGTACGAGCGAGCGAGTCCAGCTTATTTCTCCTTCACCAGAAATTACACCTGAAGCAAGTTATCGATCCTTCTTCACCTCGACTCGTCCTCTAACTCTGTTTCAGGTAAAGAAGACCTGGACCTGGGTCCCAACGACCTCCACCTCGATGACTTCCTGCTGTCGGGGAAGTTTGACCTGATCGCCTACGCCGACCCTGAGCTCAACCTGGAGGACAAGAAGGACATGTTCAACGAGGAGCTGGATCTGGGCGAGCCAGCGGAGGAGAAGGATGGAGGTGGTGGTTCTAGAAAGACCGACAGCAGCTCCCACCTGGTCGGACAGATCAAACAGGAAGTGAGGGACGACAGCAAGACGGGGGCAGCTCGACCTGGGGTCATCGCCACCAGCAAGTCCCCGGGAGCTCTAGGACTGGAGGTTTCCTCTGTCCATCACATCAAGGTGGGACGTTTTCAATTTATCAATAATAAATATTAATCAATAATTAGTTCAATAAGGAGAACATAATCAATAACCCACCACTGCCTCCAGGAGAAGCTGGAGGACTCCGGTTCTGTTTCAGGGGCTCTGTCATCCCTCAAGCCCCAGGAGCAGGTCCCATCCATGGGCCTGGTGTCCAGAGTTCAGCCCGCTGTGACCACAGGTAAACAAACACACGCCTGATCCCGCCCCCTCGTGGTATCGACCAATCACTGATCTAATCAGCAGGTTTGAAACTGTTTCTGATTGCTCTCCCTCTCCCAGGACAACAGCCTGTCTTCCAGCAGAGGCCTCAACTCACCCCCCACCCTCAGGCTGTCTCAGTGTCTCCTCACCCACTGCCTCTCCAGCCTCCTCACCTCCTCCTCACCACTCAGACCGAACCTCCACATGTGGGGACCTCCACGCAGAGCCAGAACAAACAAAGGCCTCTGCTTCTGGAGGAGCAGCCGCTTCTTTTGCAGGACCTCCTGGACCAGGAGCGCCAGGAGCAGCAGCAGCAGCAGCAGATGCAGGCCCTGATCAGACAACGCTCCACCACAGACTCTGCGTTCCTCGGTGTGGGTAAGTCCAGGATCCTGAAGCACCACTGGACTGTCCTTCTCATGAAGCTGAACTCTTGTTCTTGTTTGTCCTGCAGACTTTGATTCCATTACAGACCCCATCATGAAGGCAAAGATGGTGGCTTTGAAAGGCATAAACAAAGTGATGTCTCAGGGAAACCTGGGTCTGAATCCCGCAGTCATCAACAGGTTCCAGCAGCCTCCAGGAGCCCCCGGTCCCGAGGTCCCCCCCCAGCCTCCACACCTGGTGTTACAGGTATGTTGACTCGGACACAGTAACTGACCACACAGGACAGAGCGTTTCTCTAACATGTCTGCGATCTTTCTGTGTCAGGAGGGGAAGGTGAACCCTCAGCTGGTGCAGCCCAACCCCCCGAGCTTTGGCCCCGGGTTCAGCAGTGAGTATCAGGAACCAATCAGAGCAGCTTGAACAGTGGGTCTAACACAAAACCCTCCTCATCACTAAATTCTGCTTCTTTTCCCAGATGAGCCCAAGCGGCCGCAGTACGAGGACTGGCTCGGAGAGACGCAGCAGCTCCTGCAGATGCAGCAGCGCCTCCTGGAGGATCAGATCGCCGCCCACCGCAAGACCAAGAAGGCTCTGTCAGCCAAACAGAGAACGGCCAAGAAGGCGGGCCGCGTCTTCGCAGAGGAGGACGTCGCCCAGCTGCGCTACATCAGCGAGCAGCAGGGAGTGGTCCAGAAGCAGCTAGAGCAGGTAACGGAGCTGATGCCAGTGCAGAATAAGTCCAGATTATCAGATCAGACGGTGAAGGCCGGCCGGGGGCGGCAGTGAAACCTGTAAGCGACCATCAGGGCCGTGTATCCACAGTCAGTGCTTCTTGTCTGTGTTCAGATCCGCAAGCAGCAGAAGGACCACGCCGAGCTCATCGAGGACTACCGCACCAAACATCCTCAGAGGGGTCTACAGCAGCAACCGGCTCCCCCCCTCCCTCAGAAGCTGCTCTCACAGCCCGTCGTGCCCCTGCAACCCCACCCGGGCGGCCCCGCACCGGCCCGTCTCCCAAATGTGCCTCCCGGTTGGACTCCAGGGGGTGGGGCTCCAGGAGTGATGGGGCAGAGGATGCCGCCTCATCAACCCCCTCAACCCCCTCAACTCCCCGCTGCCCTACCCAACAGCCCGCAAGTACCCCCACACACCCAGGCGCCCTCTGCCATAGTGCCGGGCCTCGCAGCTCAGACGGCGGGCTTTACTGCCGCCTCCCGAGGCCCCAGCGGAGCCCCCACCGGAGGTCCCAATGGAGCCACAGTGGATGGAGCTGGCCCCGCCCCTCAGGTAACAAACATGGCTGCTGCACCCCACTGTGATCTAGACCAGACTCGCATCATAAATCAGATGGGGAGGGGGGGTTATCTCCATATGTTTGATACCTCCATCATACCTCCATCAGCACAGGAGACCCCACAGGAAGTTCAGTCTAGTCGACATCTGGATTTGTCTTTTATGTATCTCTGAACATCTGTGTTAGAAAAGCCAATGAGGGGGTAACACTGGTTCATGTGAGCTTACTCTGAAACAAAAGTAAAGGCTGCTCCTGGGCGCTGGCTAACCCCTCTGACTCCGCCTCCTCCGCAGGTCAAGTTTGACGACAACAACCCGTTCAGCGAGGGTTTCCAGGAGAGGGAGAGGAGGGAGAGGCTGAGGGAGCAGCAGGAGAGGCAGCGGGTTCAGCTCATGCAGGAGGTAAAACATCACGCAGGAGAGCAAGCTGGCCTCAGTCAGCAGAGCTCCTCATAAAGCACGCCCCCTCTGACAGGTTTCTGTTTAACATGAAGACGTTCATGCTCTCACAGCTGGAGCACGCCCTGGTTAAGAACCAGGAAGAGTTCAATGTAAAGAGGAGGAGACGGAGCGCAGAGCTTCAGACTGGAGTCGTGTTAAAGAGAGTAAACCAGTTTAAGCAGATGGGTTTAGACTCTCAGAGCAGCTGAAAGCTCTGCTCCTCTTAGTGCTGATACGGGAACAAGTAGGGAGGACCAGGTTGTGGATACACGTCAAGGTGAAGGAGACTCGAGCATCTACAGGCAGTGGAGCTGATGAAGAAGAGGGTGATGTGCTCTCTGGAGGCTGTGTGAGTTATGATCGCGAGTATCTGAGAAGTGGCGAGGATAGGAGCAGCATGAGGGGCGAGTAAGTGTAGTAAGTGCAGACCAGGTGGAAAAGTGCTGTCGAGGAGGACAGCCAGGCTGTTACCCTGAGGGGAGGGGGGTGCAGGTGTTGTCAGTATCAATGGAAACCTGTAAGCTGTGCTGACAAGCTTCAGTTTTATTACTGCTGAGTGTGAGACACTGGAGGATGATTTGACCTCACTGAGGCAGGA